AGGGGCAAATTTAGGGGCCCTAATATATGGAGGAAGGTTGGGCAATCCTACTTCCGTGGTGATACTGCCTCGGAAACCCAAGGAGGGGTCGCTATGAGTCGGGGCCGACTCGATGGCAAACAACAACAACAACAATATATGGCATAGACTATCAGGCATAACCCAAAATGCATGAACAGCAGAAGAGAAACTAGATGAATGGGACCTTCTAAAAATCAAATTTTTATGTGCTTCCAAAGACTTCTCCAAATGAGTCAAAAGAGAACCTACAGATTTGGAAAAAATATTTGGCAATGACATATCTGACAAGGACTTATCTCTAGAATTTATAGAAAATTCTCAGTACCACAACAACAAAAAGACAAATAATCCAATTTTAAAATGGGCAGAAGACATGAATAGACACTTCACCAAAGAGGCTATTCAGGCCGCCAACAAACACATGAAGAAATTCTCAGGATCATTAGCCATTAGAAAGATGCAAATCAAAACAACAATGAGATACCATCTTGCCCCAGCACTTCACCAAGACAGAAAATTACAAATGTTGGTGAGGATGTGGAGAGATTGGGACTCTCATGCACTGCTGGTGGGACTGTAAAATGATACAAACACTGTGGAAAGCAGTATGATGATTCTTTAAAAAGTTGGAATTAGAAATACCATTTGACCCAGCCATTCCATTACTAGGTATATCTCCTAAAGAAGTGAAAGCCAGGACAAGAACAGATATATGCACACCCATGCTCATCGCAGCACTATTTATAATGTGGAAAAGGTGGAAACAACCTAGGTGCCCATCAACAGAAGAATGGACAATCAAACTGTGGTGCATACACACAATGTAATACTATGCAACTCTAAAGAATAACGTAGAATCTGCAAAACACCACATAACGTGGATGAACTTGGAGGACATTATGCTAAGTGAAATAAGTCAATCACAAAAGGACAAATATTGTATTAGTCCATTATTGTAAAAAGTCAAGGAAAGGTTTGTATATGGAGGGAAATTTTCTTTGTTGGCTACCAGGTGTGGGAGGGGAGGGGAACAAAGAAAACACTGTTAGATAGGTAGAGACAAGTATTGATTTGGATGAAGAGAATAGTAATATACCAACTGTGAGTAATCAGCACAGTGGCATTGAGGAAGAGGAAGAGGAAGACATAGAGAGGTGTGTGGGAGGTACAGACAACAAAGACGAACCCACTTGCACATACAGTACTTCATTGTCCATGAAGGCAAACATTGATCGATGGGTGGGTAGATGGGTGGACAGTCTGAACTATTAGCTATGGCCATGCAGGGGGAAGTGTGCCCAAGACCATGAATATGGTTGACAGACAATGTTTCTACCAGTGCATTTGTATGTTCTGTAAGAATTTCCAGGTATATAGTAGAGCTGACAAGGGGCAAAGTTATAGTCACATCTTGGCCACAGCCAGCTACCCAGAGGGAGTGAGTAGTTGGGCCTGTGGGCTCAGGACCATAGTCACAGGGGACATCAAGCTCAATTGGTATAATATGCTACATGAAAACTTTGTTTCACATCCTACTTTGGCGAGTAGTGACTGGGGTCTTAAAAGCTTGCAAGCAGCCATCTAGATGCAACGTTGGATCTCCCCTCATCCAGAGCAAAGAAGAAAACCAAAGACACATGGAAACAATTAGTCCAAGTGAGTGGTACACCATGTTATCTTCAACCTATACAGCCATGAGACTAGAAGAACTAGATGGTGCCCAGCTACCACAGTCAACCACTGGGAGGGGGATCTCTGTAGGAGATCCTGGATAGAGTGGAAGAACAATGTGGAACAAAACTCAAAATCATCTCAAAATCATTAAAAAAAAAAAAAAGGACCAGGTTTGCTGGTCTGATAGAACCTGATGGAACCACTGAGACTATGGCCTCTAGTTGCCCTTTAGGTCTGGAATTGAACTCACTCCTGTGGCTTCCAGCCAAACAAAAGACAGACATATAAGCTGAACATTTACAATAGGTAGATACACTCCTTGGAGAGATCAATCATGGGAGAATAGCTTGCAGGGTAGGAGTGTGTGCAGGGAGGGAAGGACAGAGGGAAGAAGTAACTATGGGGAAGTAGAAAGGGAGCTGTTGAATTGCGGTAAGTTGGAGTCAGTGTCCTGAGACAAAGTGTATGTGAGGTGCTATATGGAAAGTGAGTTTGCTCTGTAAACTTTCACCCAAATCACAATAAAAATAAATAAAAAAAATCAAAGATAAATGTGGCTGGCACTGGTGAGTGGAAGCATGGAGAACTTGACTCTTATTCTTGAAGTGCCTTGAGCTATGGGAGAGTTTAGAGTAGAGATGGGGTGGTTTCTGTATATTGCCTCCATCTGGCAATGAGCCACAGAGAGGGTTCCATGCTAGGAACATCAAGTGTAAGGCTGACCATCCCTGTCTCCTGCTACAAAGCTGAGATGGGGGCTGATGGTCTGACTAATTTTTGGGAAGGCATGGCAGGATGGGGCATAGACAGCAGGAAGTGGATCCCAGGGAACTGACCTTGGTGGTGAAGGAGTCATATTTCTTCAACATCTGGCTACAGCTACTTGTCTTCAGTTCTTCTATCACCTGGGCACAGGGAAATAAAGAAAGTGGACTCGATGATGAGGGGTGCTTCAATCATAACTGAGCACCCCCCCCCCAGCTTACATGCCTTACCCACTGGCCCACTAAGCCTCTACAGCCTCTCATTTACTTGCGTCAAATTGTTTATTTGTTTGAGGTTTTCTTTTCAAGCTCTCTGGATTTTAGGACTGTGAGTGTTCTAATGGTGGAAACTTCACCTCCACTAGTGGACAGACTACGAAGTGTGTAAAAGTAGAGGCCAGGGCTCCCACATCAGATTATGATCTCTAGGAGCTGGAAGTCTATCCCCCTGTACCTTGGATAGACATATTTTTATAGACATAATGAGTCTGCAGGTGTCTCTGGGTGGTACAAACAGTTAAGTGCTAGACTACTAGCCAGAAGGTTGGCACCTTGGAAGACAGGCCTGGTGATCTGCTTCCAGAAGGTTGTAGCCTTGAAAACCCTATCAAATGCAGTTCTACTTTGCACACGTGTCACCATAAGTCAGAATTGACTTCGCAGCAACATCATTAACAACAAGAAGTCCAATAGTGAATGGCTTGGTGATGGATGGAGAGCCTGGTCCCATTGAGCTGTTGATGGAGGCTGGAGTGGAAAGGTCCAAATCTGGGTTGGGTAGCACTCCTTGGTGAACCTAGGACATCTGGGCAGGAGCTTCTGTCCCACAGAGCCTGAATGTCAGCATAGTCCTCATTGGCAGTCAGAAAAAGTGAAAGTATTTTCAAAGTTGAGTGACCATTGGCCAGATAGAGAAGATGTGAAGCATGTTCCAGCATGGACTGGCCTCTTTTCTACTTCTCCACCATGTATCTATAATTATAAACTATATATATAGTAATATAATTATAATCTATAATTATAATCCTAGCCCTCACTACTACTGGCACTGCTCTTACCACTTTCCTTACATTCTCTCATACAATTGTGAAGGTCTTCACCAAAAAACTTAACTAAAAAAAACAAACTCACTGCCATCCAGTCAATTTCTACTTATAGCCACCTCCCTTGGGTTGCCCAGGCAGTTTCTCTACAGAAGTAGATTGCTCAATCTTCCTTGCAAAGAGTGGCTGGTGGGCTTGAACTGCCAACCTTCTGGTTAGCATTCAAATATTGCAGGCACCACAATGATCATCATTTTATGAAACTTGGGAACAAACAGCGTTTGTATCCTGCTCAGGGTCACACAGAGGGAGGTCCAGAGGGCAACATTTGAATCCAGAGTCTGGCTTCTAGATCAATGTGCCTTTAACCCGGGCTTACCCTGATGGTTTTAATGCCAGCTATTTTGGTTCTGTACAAATCCAATCATCAATGCTGGTTGTATACATTTTAACATGTGGAGACTTTTGGGGTCTGAAGGGGTATGAGGACCATTGACTGTGTGTCTGAGATGTGTGGGTGGGACTGTGTGAGAGGCAATAAGGTGGAGAAAGAACTCACTGGTATGGTAGAGGCCTCATGGGAGCACAGGGGAGGTTTTGGAGTAGAGAGAAATTTGAGGAAGCTGAGGTGACATTTTAGGGCTTGCCTGTAGTGACCATGCAGAGGAATGGTGGCAGTCACACATTGTGGTCACCCTGCGCCCTGCTTTCACTCACCTTTCTCAGTGCCTGATCAAAGAGCTGTTCTGCCGTCTTCCCCTCTTCATTGGCTCTGACTTTGTAGCCTAGCAGGTGAGGATCAGCCTGTACCTCTCCTGTCCTCCGCCGCACCCCATTGACCAGCACCCAGGTCTGGAGGTTGGAGCTACAGAACTCTCTGAGGTTCAGCCCTGATTTCTTGATGAGTTCTCGAGAGAGCCTGCAGAAGGAGCCAGAGACTGCTGGTGCAGGACAGGCAGCTGCCAGCCCTACATTCCTGGACTCACTCCCCAAGTCCCAGGGAGCAAGCAGTTAACATGGAGAATCACCCCTGCTCCTTGAGGATTCACTTGGGGCCAGTGGAACTACCCTTTGGCCTGGATTCATAGACAGGGACCCAAGGTTGCTGGTTGGCATGCTAATGGCAGCAGGGTCAAGAGGGAACCTGGGCTAGAGGCACTTCTGCCTATTCTCTGATCACATCACACCAGAGTGCCCCTCCGCACTGGCTCCATTTAATCACCAACAGGACATTTGCCTGAAATTTCTGGCCTTCAGGATGCAGCCATTTTGGGATCTTGAGGTGGTATGAAGGGGGCCTTGGGAGAATCCTTCTGGACTTATCCTCCCTGGAGGCCACATCAATAATCTCATGCCTCCAGAGGAGGTTCTCTGACACCTTTTTTCAGGGTCCCTCTTACAAGAAATCCCTCCAACAGCAGAGGCCCCAGCCAGCTCTGGGCTGCATCATTACCATGTTTCCTATCATCACCACCATGTTTCCCATCACCACTCCCATGATTCCTAGACACTAGACCTTTCCCGTAGAAAAAATATTTCATTATTCCTGTCATTAGCAACCATCACAATGAACTCTTACAAAGCAGACCACTTTTGACCTTCCAGGGTTCTTTCTTTTATCTTTTGTGATCCTCAACATTGACCTTCCAGGCAGGTGGGGTAGATATGGTTGTGCCCATTATGCAGATTTAAAAAGTAAGGCTGGGAGAGGTTCAGGGATAGGCATGAAGCCATATAATGAGTTAGGGCAGATCCAAGACCAGATACAGGGTCCCCTATCCCTGTGCCAGAATCCCAGTGTCTAAGAAAGGATTCTGCCCTCCTTTTCTGACTGCTCACCTACCCCACACTTCCTCACCCATCTCCCATTTCCCCAACACTTACCTGTGGTTGGCAGGGATTCTCATGGCACCTAGTTCCACATACCACTGTGCCCCAGGCACTCTGTGTGTTTCTATTCTGCCACCCACACGCCCTGAGGCCTCCAGGACAGTTACCTAGAAAGATATTCAGTTCCTGGACTCAACAAAGTTAGCCATGTTCCCTTCTTACTCTCCTCTTCCTTGTCTGTAAGCAGATCCTATGCCCTTCCCAAGGTCTCCCTCTGGTTGTGGGGTTTAGAACTAAATTGTTAGATTACCTGGCTCTTCTAGCCCTTCTACCCCTGCCCATATTCCTAATACCAGCCCCTGCCCCAGCTCTCTGAGACTGTCCCACTCAGCTCTCCCTCCCATCCCTGCTTGAGGCTTACCTGCCTGCTCCCATAACATACCTGGTGTCCTGCATCCTGCAGGGTCTTGGCAGCAGTAAGCCCGGCCATGCCTGCCCCAATCACTACTATTCGCTTCCTTTCCAATGTGTGCTCCAGCCCATCTTTCACTAGCCTCACCAGCTCTTCATACTGAGGATCTTCAAAGCACTTGATGAGCTGGCTGTTGAAAGCCTGGGTGCCTGGGCTCAGTAGCAACAGGACTGTGAGGACCAACAACTCTTGGCCCATGGCTATGGAGTTGGCAGTCAGGCAAATGACTGGGGAATCAAGGAAGCCCAGGCTGGTCTTAACAGTTGTTTTGAAAAGAGATTGCATCACTGAGGCTGTGATGCAATATACTCTACTTGCAATCACCTTCCTCTCCTGCCTGAGGGCACCTTAGTCATGGGGCATCTGCCAGAATTGGCCTCCTATGGGTCAGTGCTGCCTCTCACAGACCCCACTCATGGAGACATTCCAGGATGGTCACCTGCCCAAGTGTTTGGCCTTCTGCCCAATGGTGGGGTATCGCATTGGGTGTCCTGACTTTTCCCCCATAGGGATTATAGAGTAGATATTTCTAATGTTTCAAAGTCCCTGGGTGGTGCAAATGGTTAAGCACTTGACTATTAACCTAAAGGCTGGTGGTTTGGGATCACCCAAGGTCACCTTGGAAGCAAGGCCTGGAATCTGTTTCTGAAAGATTACTGCCATTGAAGATCCGATGGGACACTGTTCTACTGTGATACTCATGGGGTTGCCATGAACCACTGTTGACTCAACAGCAACTGGAAGGAGTGCTGCAATGAGAAGATTAACTGACTTGAGCTGTGGAAGGCCGTGGGTGAGGGTGGAGAGTGTAAAGACATAATTTGATAATGCCAATAGTATCTGAGAATTGCATGGCAGTTACAAACTTTCCCAGCCTTCCTGGGAGACATCAGCTCTTCAACTTTTCATCCTTGAGGTAGTTAGAGCTTGACAGCCTCATCTCCCAGAGAGCTAGAGGTTAAGGAATGTGCCAGATGGTGAACCTACATTTCTAACAACTGCCTTAGTGCAGGGTTCCATTCCATTCCTTTTGCTCATTTCTTACTCAGCTTCCTGGGAAGGGCATGCTATACCACCTTGGTCAACTCTCACAGCCTTCCAGGTAAGACCCTATAAAAGATCTTTGTTTTTTGTTACTGGTTTTAAAGCTAATACGCATCACCACCTTTCCCTTGAATGCCCATGATGGGGAAGTCAAAAGGGTCAGGCCCTGACCTAGCTCACCTTAAAAAAATGTGTATTCATACAGGTAATATGTGAGCGTATTATTTGTTTACAGTCTCAGGATTTATGTTTAATTCAAGCCACCTATTCTTCTTCATTTACAATCAAGACAGGATAATGGCATTACAGAAAATGGAAAAATAGAGGGACAAACCCACTCACTCTCCCACCCCAGTCCACTCAACACCATTAGCAGTTTGCTATGATCCCTTAGAGTCTTGCATGAGCATGAAGGACAGTTGATAATCTCTTGCCTTCCCCATTTTGAACCAGAAATTAATCCCTTTTCATAAAGCCTGTTTGATATTGAGCACTCAACATAGTATATGGAGTGAAGGGGTGAAGGGATGGACAGACAATTGAGTGGACATAAAACGAAAAAAAAACAAACTCACTGCTGTTGAGTCAATTTTGACTCATAGCGACCCTTCCTTGGGTTTCTGAGGTGGTATCACTACAGAATTAGATTGCCTAACCGTCCTTCCGAGGAGTGGCTGGTGGGTTTGAACCACCAGGCTTCTGGTTAGCAGTCAACTACCTTAGGCACTACAGCACCACGGATGGATGTATGGACATACATGAATGGGTGTATGGACAGATGAAAGGACAGAAGGATGAAGGAAAGAAGGATAAATGTTCAGATGCTCCAGCTTCTCCTTCAATACCTCCTTCTATGCACTTCATCATCAGTTGCAGCTCAGGCCTAGTGACTCTCTGGCCTCTACTCCACTTCTGCTCTATATTTGCCCATCTTCCTGAATGCCTCACTGGTTCTGAAAATGGAAAAAACAAACAAACAAACAAACAAAAAACCCTTCTCTCTGAAAATGTGGAGGTTTAGGAGCTGTGTGTCTGGCTCTCTACTCCCTGTAACTATATGTATACACTGTTATGGATTAAATTGTATCCCCCCAAAATCCCAACCCCTAATCTTGTAAATATATATTGGACAGTGTTTCACTGCTATTTATAAGGTTTTCATTGGCCACTTCTTTGAGAAGTGGATGGCCCCTTCCTCCTTCCAAGTATGTCTTAGTCTGGAAGCTCTGCTGAAACATGTCCACTATGGTTGACCTTATTGGTATTTGAAATACTGGTAGCATAGCCTCCAGCCTCACAGTAACATGCAAGCTACCACATTGACAAACTGATGGATGAGTTGTAGACTAGAGTCTACTAGAAACAGACAAAGAAGCATCATCTTTTAGAGCCACACCCAGAATTCAGACTTCTGCTTCCTAAACTATGAAAACTAAATGTATATTCTCTAAGATCATCTATTGGTGGTATTTCTGTCATTGCAGCACTGGGTAACTAAGACACATAGAAACATACACTCTTCAGAATTCAATCTATTGCCCACTTTTTCTAAAGTCTTCTCTTTACTTCTCTCTTTAGGGAATAGGAGTGGGGAGTTATTTCTTTCCCTTTTATTTGATGTGAGAAAGTGGAATCAAGCCACCCTAAAGCCATAAGTTTGGCCCTTCTCCTCTCCCTTGTGAGGTTCAGATTTTAACTGCAGTCCTATATTACTCATGAGTTATGCTTCTGGTTAAAGAAACCAGAAGATGCATGGCTAGGCCTTCTGGTAAACATATGTGCTTTGAACTGTTTTCCCAGGAGTGGGGGGAGGTTTATTTGAGGTACTCAGAATCTCTCACCTCCTGCTCTGCCCCAGCAAGCCAGATGATCAGGGCAGAGAGTTCCTCTGTGGGTGCAGAGCAAAGCAGAATTCAGCATCTTTCAGCTGAAAACCCAAACATCAAACCTGTTGCCATCCAGTGGATTTCCAGCTCGTGGAAATCAAATGTGTTACAAAACAGAATTGCTCCATAGGGTTTCTTGGCTAGAATTTTCACAGAAGCAGATCATCAAGACTTCTTTCCTGAAGTGCTGCTGTGTGAGTTGAAAACCATCAACACTTAGGTTAGTAGTCAAGTACAGACCGTTGGCACCACCCAGAGAACTCCTTGAGTTGAAACCAAACTGGGAGCTCTGGTGGTGTAGTGCCTAAGGCACTTGACTGCTAACCAGAAGGCTGATGGTTCAAACCCACCAGCCACTCCTCAGAAGGCAAGTTGGGCAATCTACTTCCTTGAGCTGAAGGAGATATCGGACAAACCCACTCACTCTCCCACCCCAGTCCCAGGCAAATGACTGGGGAATCAAGGAAGCCCAGGCTGGTCTTAACAGTTGTTTTGAAAAGAGATTGCATCACTGAGGCTGTGATGCAATATACTC